GGGTTTGAACCGCCAGCCTTCTGGTTAGCAGTCAAGTGCCTTAGGCACTATGCTACCAGAGCTCCTGCAGAGTAGCTAGTAGGGTTGAAACACTGACCTTGGGGTTAGCAACCAAATGCCTTACTCACAATGCCACCAGAGCTCCTTAATAATTTAAATAGTGGTTTGAAAACATGAATGGGATAAAAATATAGTCTGTAGTATTGGAGTTGGGATTGGTTAGCAAGCATTCAAACTCGATCTGCCAGATTTTCTGTGTGATCTAGAGCAAGTCACGTTGCTTCTCTGAGCCTCAGTTTTCTTCTCTGCAAAATAAGGGGGTTAGAGTAGATGATTTCTCAGGGTCCGTGTAGCTCCCACATTCAAGGAGTCAGTGAATCCATCAGTCACTTCCAGGAACAAGAATGTGACATTCCTTCTGCCTTCCTGCCAAGTATTTCTATAAACACAGATGAAAAACCAAATATTTTTACATGTAGGCAGAGTGTTAAATCATTTATTCCTTCATCTTTGGCAATTCCTCATGACAACAGGCAAACATGTACTCAGTTAATTTATATTTATTGAGCATCTTCAATACAATGGGCAATGATTCCCAAACTTGTCTGCACAAGTTTGAAATTCTAAAAATAACTGCGTCCCATCCCATAGGAAATTATGATTTAATTGATTTGAAATGTAGCCTGGACTTTGGAATTTTTAAAAGATCCCCAGGTGATATTAGTGTGCAGTAAATTTGGGAATCACTTCTGTAGGCCAAGGGTGGTTTGTGGTGGTGCTACTCAAAGTGTAATTCTGTGGACCTGCTGCATGAGTATCACTTAAGAGTTTGTTAGAAATGCAGATTCTCACTCAGGCCCTCACTCAGACCTACTGCAACAGAATCTGCATTTTAACAAGATCCCCAGGTCAATCAAATGCACATTAAAGTTTGAGACACTCTGGTCAATAGCACAAATAAAAATCTTCTTTAATATAATGTCCCCTACCTTCCAGAGTAAACAAGAAGCAGGGTGTGATGAAGAAGGATAGGGGTCACTTGATGGAGTAGAGAACTGGGACATTAGTATTGATGAGGAAATGTACATATTAGAGATTGGAAGTAAGCTCATTCTGAGGACGATATGGACATTGAGGCCACCCAGCCATGGTGACCTATTCTGATTTCCAAGTCTGATCTCACTAGATCTCCAAACTTTTCAGTGTCACTCAGCAGCAGTTCCACCAAAAGTTTTCTTTCTGTCAAGGGTCTATCACCTATAGTTATTTAAGTAGAACAACAAGGACATTTCAGAGAAACTAATAGTTGTCAAAATTACCCCAATAAGATAAATTCTCCCAGTATAAAATATTCCAATTTGAATCTCAGACCTTCAGACCAAATCTTATTTCATTATGTGCTTAGGATTTTGATACAGGTGATTCAAAGAAAGGAAAGAATCAAAAAGGCCTGAAAACAGAACACACAATGGCCATTGTCTTTTAAATAATTGCCCCCTCAAGTTGGTAATATTTATTAAAACTTTAATGTATATGCTCTTTGTCTTAGCATTTGCATTTCTGAGAATATTATGAAAGGAATGAGAAACATACACAAATATATTAAAACAAGGATGTTTAGTGCAATGCTGTTTACAATGGCAAAAAATTGAAACCAATATGAAAGTCCACCAATATGAGAATAGTTAAATAAATTATGGTATCTCTATACTGTGGAGTGTTATGCAACCATTAAAAATCATTGTAGACCAAGATTTAATGGCATGGAAAGATGTTTGCAATGTATTAATGCAAACAGCAAGCCACAACACAATATGTGTATTATAATGCTATAAGGTGTGTTTTTTAAAAAAGTGCTTATACATTCTTAACCAAAAAAACTAACAACACAAAAATGGCAGAATGTTAAGAGTGGCCATTTTTGAGTAACTGAAATATGGATAATTCTTATTTTCTTTTTGTTTATCTGTGTTTCCTAAGCTTTTAGCAATAAGCATGTATTGCTTTTGTAATTCTAAAAAATAATAAAAGTTATTATTTTAAAAGCCACTCTCCAGAATCCCAACTGGCAATAAATTGAAGACCATGATTGACTAGTTTATCTGGAAGAGTCACATTTCCTACTTTCCCACCCTGTTCAAGTGTGTGGAGATAAAGAATTCTTTGGGCAACGTGCAAGGAGAGAGTTTCTGTCCCATTCCGTGTACTTGTCTCTCAGTGTCTGCATATTCATTCTTGATATTCCTGATCAGCTAACAATTTTCAGTGTCCACATAGCCCAGGCACTCAGCAACCACAGAGCATCAAAAAGCATGCACTTATTCACACATTCAATCTGGACATACTCATTAAGTGCCAACTGTGTGCCAAACACTGTTTCAGGCACTGAGGATAGAAAAGGCCCTTATATTCTAGTGGGAGAAGAAAGACAACACAAACCGATCAGATAATTCTCGGTTATGGTAAATGCTGTGAAGGAAAATAAAGCAGGATCAAGAAAGAGAATGAGGTGGGGAGCAAGGGTGGTCATGGAAAACTTTTTTGAAGAAGTGATATGAAGGGATCCTGAGTGATGTGAAGGGATGAGAAATGGGAAGACCATGACATCACCAAGATCTTAGTAAGTAACACATGACCACAGTGGAAAAGGAACAAGGGAGGAAGGGGAAAAGAAGAGCAAAGAAATTAAGAACAGTAAATTCAGTTATTCATGTTGATAAGGGAGAAGTGATAAATAAAATTCACTGATGATCCAGCTAAAACTTTCTTGTTGTAATGAAGGAATGCTGACTACTCCAGTAACAAACTAGGGCCAAAATAAAACATGTGAGTTTCACCACTCTCTTCCTCTTTGCTCTTGTAGAGGCTGATCTGGCCTTGCATATCAGTGACCACATACAAGGCTATGTAGGTCGTCTACTTCCTGAAGTGAAACCAACCTCTCTTCCCCACCATACCACCTCATACCTGGAATTCCCATAATTCCCCACTTCTTTTGGGTTATGGTCTTAAAAATCCCTGTGACAACTTAAAAGACTCCTGGGCTGGGATGATAGATCTCCTTCATTAGCCAACACCACTCTGTAATGAATGATTTCTTAGTTCTGGAGAGAACAGGTGGAGCTCAGGACAGACGCATTCTCAGAGGAGGTTGGCATGGCTAGGAATGACTTCAAGCATGTTGCATGGTATACTTCCCAAGAAGGAAATGAAAGGTGAACGTGGAGTAATTAGAAAGCATCTTGAGGTATTGTTGTTGTTGTTATGTGCCATTGAGTCGGCCCTGACTCATAGCGACCTCTCCTTGGGTTTCTGAGGCAGTAACACTATGGAAGTAGATTGCCCATCCTTCCTTCCAAGGAGTGGCTGGTGGGTTTGAACTGCCAGACTTCTGGTTAGCAGTCAATTCCTTAGGCACTATGCCACCAGAGCTCCTACCTTGAGGTGAAGCTTGTAGAGTGAGGAAGATGTGGGCAAATAGGTAGTTCCAAAGACATGTACTTTGCTTAGTCTTAATATATTTTCAAGTGCCACCCAGGTTTGAGTCACTAATGGGTTTTGTTGTTGGTAGATCCCTTCAGGTTTGTAAGCTAAGCTCTTGTGGGGGGGCATTCTGGGGCAAGATGACTCTGTAGGACACTGGGAGAACTTTTAGCATATTACAAGTACTTCCAGTGCCATCACATATTTTATATGCTGGTTATAACCAAACTCAAAAACCAAACTCATTGCCATTGAGTTGATTCTGACTCATAGAGATGCCCTTGGGTTTCCAAAGCTGTAAATCTTTACAGAAGCAGACCACCCCATCTTTCTTCTGTGGAGTGGCTGGTGGGTTTGAACCACTGACATTTCAGTTAGCAGCCAAATGCCTTAACTGATACACCACCAAAGCTTCTTTTGGCCAAATTCAAGCTGGTGAGCAGAGCTTAACAAATGCATTCAGCTCTCATTCTACAGGTGATAATAGAATACATAGTTGTCCTTGTCAACGCTCCCTACCCCATCAAAAAGTGCTAGCACATATGCCTTCATTACCTAACACATTGCCAAAAAGACTGGCCCACTGAGTCGTTAAAGGCCTAAATAGGACAGAAGGAAAAAGGAAACTTGATTCTTGGAGAATCCACAAATCAAGCCATCTGACCTCAGAAGACTATGGTTTTGTCCATATAGTGCCAAAATGATGTTGTGTAGGAAGGCTAATCAGGTCAGCAAGAGACATTCACTAACAATTTGATTACAGTATCTAGTCCAAATGTGTCTAATTGGCTAAAAGCAAAGCCTCCCTAATTAGAAGAACAGATACAAAGTACTCAACACTCAACGGTTTCATCCTAAACAATTCAGATCCTTTTACAGAGGAATTTTGTACATGTTCAAAATTTCAGAGTGTTTGTGACTTCTCTTTTTTGTTCCTGATTTGAGTGTACACTTTAGATATACAGCTGAAAAGAGTGCTGATTACAAGGCTAGCAAAGAAACTAATTCACTAATAACCAACCAGGAAACATTTTTATTTTAATAGAAGGCTGAAGACAGAGGAGGGTAGAAGGAACAGAGAGTATCACAGGACTGGTGTCTTTGTGCCTGGAAGCTGAAATCCGACAGTTTAGTTTATATATTAAATGATCCACACTTGAGGGATTTGACCAATTTTTTTGTGTCTCTGAACGATTCTTTTGGCATAGCATACATGTGACTAATTTGACATCTAGGTTTTGGCACTGGTGTTGATCTGGTATTATTGTTCCCCTTACAAACAACTCAAAGAGCATTCAGAAATGTCAAGGCAATTTGGGTAGATCCTTTGGGCAAGTATATGCACGTAAATGAGTGTCATAAATGGTTGCTAAGTATACCTAAATGATGCCAGGGAAGTTAACCAAGGCCCTCTGTCAGCCCATTGCCTGAGCCTCTGTTGGCAACACTGGGTGGGATAGGACATGATCCTGACCCAGTATGGAAGATTCTGTTGTTATGTGCCGTCGAGTTGAACCCGACTCATAGCGACCCCTCCTTGGGTTTCTGAGGTGGTATCACTACGTAAGTAGGTTGCCCAACCTTCCTTCCAAGGAGTGGCTGGTGGGTTTGAACCACCAGCCTTCTGGTTAGCAGTCAAGTGCCTTAGGCACTATGCTACCAGAGCTCCTAGATCCTATGTTCCTTTAAATGCCTAAGAGATTTGTGCCTGGCCACATTCTTCCTCCTTCTCATGAGGATTTTCAGTGATAATGGTAGGTGGGTCCAATTTATGTTATAGGCCAGTGTTCTTCAGAACTGTGGATTCTGTCATCACATAGACTTTAATCAAAGGTTATATGTGTCTTTATATGTGATTTAGTAGCTTAATATGTGATTTAGTAGCTGTTGCTGGGACAGTTGAAGCTAAGCATATGAAGGCTGAATTGGATTTCTCTCTGTAACAATGTTCTTGTTGATTTTGCACTTTTGATAAATGTATGATGTCATGAATAATTAGATACATAAATGCATGATTTCACTTCTGTTTTTGGAAAACCATGTCAAAACCCTACCTGTCTCCTGATTGCAGAAGAACTTCCAGGCCAAAGCCTTGACAGCAAAGGCTACTTTTGTGGAGAAGAAACAATGCCTGTGTATGAGTCTGTGTTCATGGAGGATGGAGAAACCACCAGAAAAATAGCACTGGAGACTGAGAGACCACCTCAGGTTGAGGTCCATGTTTGGACCATTCGAAAAGGTAAGCAATTAAGGGGACACAAGGAAAGAGAGGAAGACTTACTTTTATTTTGCTTCAGCCTGTTCTTCTGTTTGGATCAAAACTTTTCCTGATTGCTTAGAAGCTAACACATGTCTAACCCAGTTATTACTATGGCCCTTAAATATAGCCATGGACTTTGCTAAAAAGTAAGTATCGACACTTGTAGTCTGTTGTCTTTCTCCCAAGCATGGAACAGTGATTCTCAACCCTGGCTCACATCAAAATCATCTAGGGAACTTTTTTTAAAAAATATACTAATACCTGGGCCCCACCAAATGAGATTCTAATTAATTGGTCTGGGGTGGAGCCTGGCCATCAGTGTTACTTTGTTTTTTTGTTTTTTTTTTTTTCCCCTATTGTTTTCTTAAAGCTCAGTGGGTGATTTTAATGTACAGCCAGTGTTGAGTGGTATCAGAATGCAGTCTACCATCCTTTCCAATATGAAGTGTAATAAACATAAAAATCCATTCATTCAGTGTGAAGCTGAGTCCCCACAATCATGTTATGTACTCTGGAGTAAGACTAACTTAAAACATCATGCCTGCCCTCAAGAAGATTATAGTCAAGGAGGCGGGGCAAGATGGCGGACTAGGCAGAAGGATTGCACAGACCCTCTTCAACAAAGAAAAGGGAAACCAATTAACACAGACACAGAAGATAA